TTTTTACTTCCCTGGCCATTGATATGAAACGTGCTATCTCTTAGTGACATGGCATTCAGATGGGGCTGGGTAGATTTGCCCGACTGTTACCGATGTGACCTTTTTAAAGAAACGGCTTCGCACGCCTTCTACCATTGTACTCAGGTACGCCTTTTCTCGGACTATGTTGGTGAGTTGACGGATTGTATTGCTCCTGATCATCTTGTACTCATCAACCTCGCTTACGCGTGCAACAATATATTCTTTGATGAAAAGAATGGTATTTTTAACGTTGCAAGCCGTGGTAAGAATGGTAATCTAGATGACGTGAAAGTAGTGAATCTTGCGACACGAACGCTATTTTCATCAGGTTCTGATCGGATTCTTTCAGCATCAGCTTAAAGTGATGTCGACAGATTTCAACGAAAGGTGGGTGAAAGTAGCGAGCCCTGTTCGTGTGAAAGGGGCTATCCTTGAGTTCCTTTTTTACGTCCTCTTCGTTAAGTTAGACTCGCCTTTGTGTACCTAGTTAATGTGAGTGAGTGTCGTTTCCGGCTTGTTCCCTGATATTTACTTCTGTTATGAACCGAGTTGAGATTCCTAATATCTTCAGTTTGTTTTTTGGCCTCCTTTTAATCTCGACTGGTTCAATCTTTGATTTCACCAAGCCCGTATTTATTTTACCCTAACCATTTCGTTAGAGAGCTTCTTGATTCTGTCTGGGGACAGAATACAGCGGCAAATCTTATTTTTATGGGGTGGACGGCTCCTACTAAAATATTTTATTTTCTATTTGTTGGTTATTGGGATTCATACACTCCTCCAACATTTCACATCATTTTATATATATATATATATATATATATATATATATATATATATATATATTTATTAAAGACTTTTTTTATGTTTAACGTTGTTATTTTATAGATACAAGTATTTAAGCAAATGCTCTGTTTATGATAAACAGTATTAAATAACATTTACCGGCCTGAATGTCCGAGAAATTTTCATAGAAAATATTCGTTCTTTGACAGGATTCGAACCTGCATCCTATACGGAACCGTCATATACGCTGACGTGCCTTACCTCTGGGCTACAAAGAACCTTTTCGGTAGACAAGGTCGAATTTACTGCTTATAAACTTCAATCTTCAATGAATCTCGTACATTCATAACTGCTCTGGCGTATCAAATGTAAACAAATGACGTCATATATTAAGAAATGGACAAGGTCCAACAATTTATTTATTAAAGACATTTTTATGTTTAACGTTGTTATTTTATAGATACAAGTATTTAAGTAAATGCTCTGTTTATGATAAACAGTATTAAATAACATTTACCGGCCTGAATGTCCGAGAAATTTTCATAGAAAATATTCGTTCTTTGACAGGACTCGAACCTGCATCCTATACGGAACCGTCATTTACGCTGACGTGCCTTATCTCTGGGCCACAAAGAACCTTTTCGGTAGACATGTAAAAATTAAAAATACGTAAGTAATATCCATTTACATCATTGGCAAATTGAAAATAAATAAAGCTTCTGAAATGTTTAGAATTTTTAACCTTATTGTGTATACGGTAATAATATAGTAAAACTTTTCGGTTTGCTGGGGACATTTTTCAAGAACTAAAACAAATTAATGCCGTTTTCATCACTTTTCAAATGTTCATCGATTTATGACACAGGAATATAACACTTGTTGTTTTATTCTATTTAACTCTGAGAAATTTTGAAATAATGAATGAATGGGTCGTGAATCGGATTATTTAGGTATAAGATAGTTTATGATGATGGTCAGCTTCGCCCCACTCCCTACACTATTAGCAAATTAATAAAAAAAAAGCTTCTGAAATATTCTGATATTTTTACCCTTATTATGTATATGGTAAAATCGAATTTTCAGTTTTTGCGGATGAACTTTTTTCAAGAAAACATCGATTTCATTACTTTTCAACAAAAGATCATCGATATATAACACAGGAATATAGGATTACAAAAAAGTCATAACCCTTATATATAAGGCGTCGTTGCTCACGTGTTTGGCCTATAGTATTCTCATCATCCTTCTGTAGAACCACATTTCTGTTGCTTCACATCTCTTCTTCAACCGTGGGGTCATTGTCCAGCATTCACTGCCATATAGGAGATTAGATATTACATAGCCGTCCAACACTTTTCTTTGTTTCTAAGGACACTCGTCAGTAGAACCACATCTCTGTCGCTTCAAGTCTCTTTATCTATTCTTTTCTTTGTTGCTAACGAAATTTTCCTATTTCTTAATACTTTGCTTATCTTTTGTAAGGCATCTTTCGCTATCCCAAATGAGCTTTCGCATTTCAGTGATGCACATTCTGCCCTCACAGATATTTAAATGATACTTTGACATTCTTTTTGCTAACAACCGTGTATTCTGTCTTCTTGCAATTGATGTTTATTCCTTTCTTTTTGTTTTCCTTCACTACCTTCTGTAGAAGTTCTAGTTTATTTTATGTGTCTGCTACCAACAATGGGTCATCTGCATAACTTACGTTGTTCACAATCTCCGAATTCCGTGCGAAAATTACACTCAACCGTAATATAAAAACAGGTAAAACGTCCTCGTAGACTAAGAAAAATCCTTTGACTATAACAAGACATTTTGGGTAACAGTTAAGAAATATGGATAAAACATTTATCCAGCAGCTTACTACAGTTCTAGTTCTCTATAGACTAGTGGTCCCACCCATCAGTGAACACCAAGCCTATTTTCTGTTCCCTGCACTATTTAATATCTTCCTTGAAGGCATCTAGGGTCACGCCTTTGAGGAACACCAGATCTCAGTCAAAATTCAAATTCGAAACATCACAAAACTTTGCTTTATAAATGGTAAAGAGGAACTCATCAATCTCTTGAAACATTCTTCGAATATGGCATGAATATATATTCCGAAAAATCAAAAGCAAGACGAAAAGTTGAAACGATTTCCAAACATGGTAGCGTCTTTTTTTCTTTTAATGTGATGTGTCCCTTCAGCACGTCAGCGATCATGGCCCTCCACTTCACCCTATCCCTTGTAGCTCTCAATAAGTTTTGTCCCTTTGCTACTTCCCCCAGGCTTTGTTCTATCATCCACTTGCTTAAGCCCGCCAGGTATGTCTTGCATTGCTTTCCCTTGTCTCTCTTTCCCTCTATTCGACCTGTGAGTATCAGATTTTCCAAGCCCTCCTTTCTCATTACGTGTCCCAGAAATTTCAGCTGCTTTTTCCTGATGTTAAATATAAACTTCCTCTTTGTTTTCATCATCTCCAAAACCTTATCGTTGCTCACATACTCGGTCTATGATATCCTTAGCATCTTTCTAAAGAACCATACCTCCATTGCCTCAAGTCTCTTTTTCATCTTTGAGGAAACTGTTCAACATTCGCTGCCGTAAAGGAGGACAGATGTCATGTAGCAGCTCAGTAATCTTTACTTTGTTATCAAAGAAATCCTCCAGTCTTGTAATATTCTGCCCAGCTTTTGGAATGCGTCCTTGGTCATCCCAATGCGTCTTCGGATCTCGGCGTCGTATTTACCGTCCTCTCTCAGAACACTTCCCAGATATTTAATTTTCTGCACCTGCTTGATTTTAGTATCCCCGAACCGCAAATCGCATTTTAGGTTCATCCTTTTACTGATGGTCATGAATTCTGTCTTCTTGTAGTTTATGCTTAGTCCCTTCTTCTCGCTCTCCTTCGCTACCATCTGTAGGAGGTTTTAGTCAGAAAAATAATGTAGCCAAGCAATTGAAATATATTAGCTCGATTATTAAGGAAGAGAGTTCAAGAACAGAAATTATTACAACAAAAGAGAAAACCGAAAACCATCTGGAAAGACAGGAACATCTGCCAGAAATCAAAGATCAGACTTTCTCATCACCTGCCAATCTTGGATATTAATAGCAGAATTATAGCGAAGAATCCAAGCGTCGGAAATAAGATGCTATGGGACCATTCTAGGCATTTGCTACGTGGTCCGCATTAAACTGACGTGATATCACCAAACAAAAACCAGAGCCATTGGAAGACCTCACAACGACCGTCAAAAGGAGACATTTCATATCATAAGAGCCAACTGTCCTTGCACAACCATCATACATGACTCCACCTCGGGAATAAAAGAAAGTGGGCTGACAATGTCACTATGGACTGGCAGATCATTCACAGAGGCTGATACAATGGCACGCAACAGATATATTGAGGAAAATTGGAACCATGATTGCCGTCTTGCTCAAAAAATACACATTCACTAGATGCGCCACTGCATTCGAATAGAGACAATTATTTAATACAAGAAAAAATAAGAAATTAATTAAAAAATATGACGAAATACAGAATGAAAACCAAAAATAAGGTATTGCAAATAATACATACAAAATTTCAATGTAGACGCTCAGTGTCTAGTCATTTTTAGTATAATGTATAGCTGACCACTCGTATAGGAGGATACTCGTCTACTTGGGCGTCTCCAATCCCTATTACGGACGCTTGCTCAGGCACATTTGTGTTTATTCAATACCCACAGAGTCCACCTATGTTTTATGCTGCAACTATGCTGAGCAGACCTTAGTTACAGTTTCTGGGAAAGAGCGTGTTATCTAGCGTGATCAGTTTGAACAAGACCAGCACGCTGAAGCCATCAGCCACGATGACTTTTGATTTCGTTCTAGCACAGCTATCGACGGACCCCAAACGTTCAGTTTACCCGGGGTAGGATTTTTTCAGACATTTTCCAAAAGGTGCTTCATGCTGGGTTCGACTCCTCCAGTCTGATAACAATCAGAAAGTCTCCTTCCTGACAAATCAACCAAGGTGAGATTCGAACCCGGGTCTTATGGTCAAAATGAGAACGTCCTAACTACTCGGCTTATCATTACAGTAGTGAGTTTGAGCTTCACTGGGTGCTCCTTACATGTGGCTTTGTGCCAAAATAAACTAAGCTTCATAAATGACGACAAGGGTGGTGGATATTAGGAAGGAGAGAAGGATTATATCTTAAGTGATAAGGGAGAAATTATATTTAAAGTATATACAGATAAGAAGAGAAAAAGAAAAGTACAAAGAGAAACAGAGAGAGACAGAGAGAGAAAGGAAATATTCCTGGGAGAGACAGAGAGAGAAAGGAAATATTCCTGGGAGAGACAGAGAGAGAGAAAGGAAAAAGGAGAGACAGAGAGAGAAAGGAAATATTCCAGATAGAGAGAAGAGAGAGAAAGGAAAAAGAAAACAAAAAATTAAAGAGGGAGAGGAAAATAGACAGAGAGAGAGAGTGAAAAAAAGACAGAGAGAGAGAAAGAAAAAGAAAATTACAGAGAGAGAAAAATAGACAAAGAGAGAGAGAGAAAAATAGACAAAGAGAGAGAGAGAAAAATAGACAAAGAGAGAGAGAGAAAAATAGACAAAGAGAGAGAGAGAAAAATAGACAAAGAGAGAGAGAGAAAAATAGACAAAGAGAGAGAGAGAAGAATGCAGTGAGAGAGAGAGAAGAATGCAGTGAGAGAGAGAGAGAAGAATGCAGTGAGAGAGAGAGAGAGAGAAGAATGCAGAGAGAAATAAAAGCTGAGTGAACGAGAGAGTCCATCTCAAAGAGAAGAATGCAGTGAGAGAGAGAGAAAAGATCTGCTGGAGAGAGAGAGAGAAGAAGAATCTCGTGAACCTAGTCGCTTTCCTCACGAAGAATGCCGCTCAAGAGAGAGAGATAAACAGAACTGGGAGAGACTGAGACCGAGAGAGGATGAAACAGAGAAAGAGAAAGAGAGACGGAGAATCAGAGAGAGAAATAAAAATGCTGAGTGAACGAACGGTTAAGATTAAAGCAGTGTTTGCCCGGCCGTCCATCTCAAATTGAGTGACATTCTCTGTCACGTGTCGATTAGGCAAATCTATCTGCTCTCTTATTCTATCTACGTCTCTTGCAAAACACACACATCTCTTGTCGAACCTAGTCTATCTCTTTCGCTCTCATTCGATTTTCTTGTCGCTCGCTCAATGATTGGAGGCGGTATATACGACATACTGACCTACATGTTCTCTTTCGCTCTCTTATTCTATCTATACAAAGAAAGAATAACAGAAAGGCTGTTCAGGTAATCTAGGTACGTAGATTAGCTATCTATCTCTTGTCGCTACCTGATTCTATCCCTTGTTCACTCATTCGATATCTTTAACGACACTATCTATCTCTTGTCGCTCTCTTATTCTATCTATCTCTTGTCGCTCTCTTATTCTATCTATCTTATCTCTCTTATTCTATCTCTTGTCTTGTCGCTCTCTTATTTATTCTCTATCTCGCTCTCTTATTATCTATCTCTTGTCGCTCTCTTATTCTATCTATCTATCTATCTATCTCTTGTCTTTCTCTCTATCTATCTCTTGTATCTATCTTATTCATCTCTATCTCTCTTGTCGCTCTCTTATTCTTTATTCTATCTATCTCTCTTATTCTTTCTCTCTATCTATCTCTTTGTCTCTTATTCTTTCTCTCTTATTCTTGTATCTTATTCTTTCTCTATCTATCTCTTGTCGCTCTCTTATTCTTTCTCTCTATCTATCTCTTGTCGCTCTCTTATTCTTTCTCTCTATCTATCTCTTGTCGCTCTCTTATTCTTTCTCTCTATCTATCTCTTGTCGCTCTCTTATTCTTTCTCTCTATCTATCTCTTGTCGCTCTCTTTATTCTCTTATTTCATCTATCTTTCTCTTGTCGCTCTCTTATTCTATCTATCTCTTGTCGCTCTCTTATTCTATCTATCTCTTGTCGCTCTCTTATTCTATCTATCTCTTGTCGCTCTCTTATTCTCTCTATCTATCTCTTGTCGCTCTCTTATTCTCTCTATCTATCTATCTCTTGTCGCTCTCTTATTCTCTCTATCTCTTGTCGCTTTCTTATTCTCCCTCTATATCTGTCTTCACTCTTTTATCTCTTTTTCCCTTATTTCTCTCTTTTTTTTCATCTTTTTTCTATTTTCGTCTTCTGTGTCATGATCATCCAGAATGCGGGCGATTATGGCTTTCCATAACTTCCTATCCTTTTGTAGCTCAGAGTAAGCGTTGTCTTTTACCATTCTTCCAACTCCTTGTTCTGCCATCCATTTACAAAAGTTTGTTAAGTAGGTCACTTGGCGTTTCTCTGTCCCTCTTGCCTTTAACGCCCTGGGAGTGTAAATCACTTTACCGCACTGTGAGTGCCAAATCCTCGTAGCCTTCTTTCCTCACTAGCAGTCAAAGAATTTTCAACTGTTTCTTTCTGGTTTTAAGTATTTTGTTTCAACGTTCCTTAAAACTTCCTCGTTACTCACATACTCAGTTCATGGTATTCTCAGAACATAAAATATGATCAAATTCAGTGCCATATAGAATGATTGATATTACATGATAATTTAGAACGGATAGGTTTGCTTCCACGGTCCTGGGTATGACGATAAATGGCATCTGGCAGCAGGGCCTCTAATCTGGAGAATGGGGGAGTTTGAGAAGCGTGGAACCACCTCATAATTGCTTTTATTTCCAGGTTCACCCTGACCCGGGGTGGTAGCACCTGTTCCGGTTGCAGCTATGAGGAAAAAGTGTGAGCTCTCAGCTCAAACAAAAACACTACGAAAGTATAAAAATACATTTTAATAGTAAAAATACCAGAAATAAATTTTTATATAAAAATAACCTACACTACATGACCAGAAAAGCATTTTATCTGCAGTTGAATGCAGTCAATTACCTTCAAAATATATTTACTTGAAACCATATAATTGTCCCAAAGAACACATGGCCCAGTGGATAAAAATGTTGGTGACTACACCCAAAGAGTTGTGAGTTCAATACCAAGCTACAGCACTGGTGAACTTAGTTAAAGGGAAATAACTGAGACATCAGGAAGAAGCATGGCATGTGGACCTAGAACAATCTACCCCGGTAGATGAAATAAAGGGTTCGATTCGAAATCCCAATCACCTGAAGAAGGCCGGAGCGTACAGCAGCCGAAACGTTATCAATATGGCGAGTAGTATAACAGTCCGAATAATGTAAATAATCATAATACCTCATTTCAGAGATATAGACAACTATATAATTGTGTTCAAAATATTTAGATTTCGGTATTAAATAACCAATAGATGCGTTAGTATTAAATAACCAATAGATGCGTTAGTATTAAATAACCAATAGATGTATTAGTATGCCGCCAAACCAAATTAACCAAACTGTTTCTACCGAAATTTTCCTGTTTCTTAATACTTTGCTTAGCTTTTGAAATGCTTCTTTCATTATGTGTCTTTGTATTTCGATGCCACATTACCCATCGTCTATTATAACACTTCTAAAAGTAGTTACATTTCTGCAGAAAAAAAAGGGGTTCCAAAATTATTTTCCGTTTGAAAGAAAGTCAGATTTCTGATTGGCCAATCTACTTCCGACCGCAGTCTGTTCAAAATGGTGGAGGTGTTATAGCAACTATTTTTGTACGAGCGACGACATTTTTTTTTGTTTGTTTTGTTTGTTTTTCTCCATTACTCCTCTTGCAGATTTGGGATAATTGCTATGATAAGATAGTCACCCTCGCGGCATTACATTAGTGGTCGGGTCACGTAGAATGACACACAATTCGAAAAGGTCAAGAACAATCATTGTCTCTACATCACTGCCTGAAAACATAAAACCAGAAATTTCCAGTTTGAAGCAATTTGGACCCGTTGTTCCCTCACTCGTTCATTTTTACCAGTCTCAGCTACGACGCGACAAAAAGAAAATGGTGGGAGGCTAAATCAGATGTAAAAATAGGTGGGGGGGCGAAATCACACTGTTAAAATATGTGGGGAGGAGATATCACACGTAAAAAAAAATAAATGGTGCGTAGGCGAAATCAAGTGGTAAAATTAATGTGGTGCATAAATCAGATGATATAAAATGGGGGCTAAGGACATACCGATGATTGCGGAGGCTGGACTACTTTTCAGAGCTGGTCCGGGTGCACGCGCTCGTGACCTTGTGTTGAATCCTGCCAGCGTAGGGGTGGGGAGAAAAGACAATCACTTCGCTGCCTTTTGACTAAGATCAATGTGTAGTATCTGTTATCAGCTTAACCTGATTTTATCTCTCAGAAGACATTTCTATTTCTCTCTATATTTCTATTTTACACACATATATATATATATATATATATATATATATATATATATATATATATATATATATATATATAAAGGTGGCCTGACGATTGCATATAGCATGAAACAGAGTGTCGCCTCTAAGTGTTGACGTCTATGTTCACTGTTATATTTACACACGCTCTATCTGATATTGAGCACTTTATCCCATAAGTATAGCACACCTTAAGACTAGATTTCCTCATATATATATATATATATATATATATATATATATATATATATATATAATGAAATGGACAAAGTCCGACAAATATTTTAAGATATTTTTTATGTTTATACGTTCTTTTTATAGATACAATTTTAGGCCGGTAAATGTCGTTAATACTGTTTATTATAATAGAGCATTTACATAAATATTTGTATCTATAAAAAGAACGTATAAACATAAAAAATGTCTTTGAGATATATATATATATATATATATATATATATATATATATATATATATATATATATATATATATATATATATCTCAAACTCACACACTTCTATCTTTCTTTTATTTTCTAACTCAAATCAAGTAATATCTTCCGTCGTCTTTCCACGCCATCTAAACTGAATAGTCCATTCGTGGCTGAGTGGATAGAACGTTCGCTTTCTGACCATGACTCCCGGGTTTTGAATCTCACCATGGTCGATTTGTCACAAAGGCGACGGGAGGAGGCAATCCCAGCTTACAACACCTTTGGAAAGTGCTTGAAAACCAAACCTTGTGAGAGAAATTCGGAGCTGTTGGTGATTGTACCAGTCACAAGTTATCACGCCCGAAGGTTTGAGAGTGCTGCCCTTGTTCGGACTACTGATCACGCTAGACAACTCACTCTCTCTCAGAAACTAATGTCCGCTTAGTTGCATAGTCGCAGTATAAACCAGATGTGGGCGCTGTGAGTGTTGAAACAAACAAATGTGCCTGAGCAGACATCTACAATGGGGATTAGATAGCCACCATATTAGACTAGCATCTTCGGATACAAGTCGCACGTCATTCAGATTGGCAGGACATAACGGTCGTGCGAGTGACAAGAACAATTATAATAGGAAAATTACTGAATTTGAGGTTTACTCCTTTTTTACTCTCTCTCCAGAAATAAAATGACAAAAGGTGAAATAATTAGGCCGTAGAATAAATGTAATGTCGGCGGACCGAAATATTGTCTTCAAATAACAAATAATATTTATTTTAGAAATCAAATCAACTTATTCAAGGCAGAAAAGCCATTAATACACAAGGGGGTGCAAAGTGTGGAGAGTTAGAAAACAGAAACATTATTAAGGAGCGAGAATAGAAGCATTGGGTTTAAATTTTTGAAGATCAAAGTTGGCTTGAAAGCATGGAGCCGGAAGAGAGTTCCACAACCTAAAAGTGAAAGAAAATAAACTGTTAGCATAGAATTTACGCTTACATCTAGCCATCTCAACTGTAAATTGGTGAGATCTTGATGCTAGTCTAGTACTGCGCTTAAATTAATAAAGTCTAGCCACCATAGGCAAGAGTTCATTCGTACGATTGCCATGAAAGTATTTATAGAAAAGGCAAAGGGAAGAAACTTTACGGCAGGGGTGGGGGGAAAAGTGACTAAAGCTGAGCAGCCAGGTCAGGACCAGTAATATTGTTGTTTCTTCATTGGATTTTATCAAGGATCTCTAACAATATTTTAAGTATGGACGAATAGTAGATATATAGATATGCAAGATAGATTATGGAGAGTGAACCAACTTCCATAGTAGCTGACCTAGCAATGGATTCAATATAGTTTTCCAAGTCAGCTGAGAACGTTAACTCGAGAAGCTGCAACGAGTCACTTTCTTGAAGGTTAGCATCAGCCATATGATGGAAGGTAGAATGGAGTCTC